AGAAAGCCCAAATAATTCCCTAAAAAATTAAAATTTAAAACTTGTATTTATTACTTTATAATAAAATAAACAATTCATTATATATTTATAATTTTATGCATTTCATTTAGATGTATTGTATATATAATTTTGATTTACGGTTTAATTCGATTTATAAAATTCAATAAACCAAACATAAACCATAAACCACAAATTTAAACATTCTCAAACCAAACCAAACCAAACCACAAAATCGATTTGGTTCAATTTAGTTTTGTGGTTTGAACCATATAATGAGCACCATGGCATATTTATATATGTTATTATATTTTTATATTATTTTATATTATTTATATATTTTATATATAAATATTATAATATGATATCTATAGTCCATATTATATAACATTTTATATTAAATAATGTATAAAATAAAATTTAGATTGGACTTGTAATCAGGCTCGACCCAACCTGAACTTATGTTCAACGCCTGAAACCTAGATTGGGCTGGGGTTGGGCCCAGGCTATAGTGCAAAGATCAACCTAGGCTCAATCCTTGATCACCCTTAGGCTATGTTTGGTTTGAAGGAAAAGGTAGGAAAAGGAAGGAAAAGACAGGAAAACCAATACTAGATTTGTAAAGGCCTCCCTACCTTTCCCTTCCTTTCCCTATATTTTCCTTCAAACCAACCATAACCTTAGTGTGAGGCTATGACCCGGTCACAAAGGGATTAGCTGCTAAACATGAAGACTTGTTGTCATTGGAGTTAGTCACCCCTGTGTGTGTTATTCCTCTATTTGCTTTGGGAAAATTATAGATTGATATCCTGTGCTTTTTTGGGTATTGACATATAGGTACTTTGAACTTTTAAATATGGCACTTGAGTACCTTAAACTCCCAAAAATAGACACCACAAACACAAGAACTCCCTTCTAACAACCTTCCAACATGATATGCGCCTGCACATCACATAGGTGGTGGGTCTCGGTCTTGTGGTGGATCTTCCACATGATGTATAGATATGGATCATGTTAGAACTTGTTGGAAATGATTTTTGTTGGGCCGGAGATCCAGACTCTTAAGTCCGCTATCTATGGGTGATCATCTCAACCTAACTTGACTATGCCCAAGCTTACATTAGGCTTGCAAGTTTTAGAGCCTGGCATGGGCCTAATTCTTCAAGCATAGAACGCTTATGCCAACAAAATGTGCTCTAACACCCTCCACAATATTTGACACCACACATCTCATACATGGTGGGCCCCAATATCGAGATGTGAGATATCATATCAAGTTGGTAGGGTGTTAGAAATTGTCTTGTTGGTAGGTGATCCCAACTCTCTCTCTCTCTCTCTCTCTATAAAGGGGATGTAAGGCTAGAATCATGCCCCGCCCAATAAGGGTGTCACTGGACCGGTTTTGGACTGGACCCCATCTAGTCCAAAACCAATTTGGACGGATTGGACCAATCCAATCCAAAATATTTATTAATTATTAGATTGGATTGGATTGGATCTGATTCATCCGTAATAAATTTATATTGGATTGGGTTGGATTAAGCCAATATCTGATCCATTGAGATAAGATAAGAATATAGGTGTCAATGGATCGGGTTTGGATTGAAACCTATCTAAAGTAAAACAAATTTGAACATATTGGACAGTCTAGACATTGAACTGGACCATTCCAAAATGGTTCAAATTATTCATTGAATTGGACTAGACTTGGTCCATTTGTAATGCACAAAAAGTGACTTCAAGTTGGCTTTTTCTTTCAGTACTTCTCAAAAAAATGGGACGAACCAGTCCCTAATATTTTTTGTAATACCTAAAATACCCCCGCACAAGGGTTATACTTCCTTCTCCATTCATTTGAACATCTCTACTACCAGGTAGCGGCGCACCAGTTGCAGGTCCATTGGCAACCATCGGTGGTGAGGAAAAGTGGCTGGCGGACTTGTCGTTAGTTCTCAAATCTGGGATCGAATACACAACAACAGAGATTGAACTCTGGGATCAAAACCCAAATTTGGTTGCTGGTATGCAGCCTTGCCACTCACTGTTCTTGTTTTTTCTTCCTCCGTCCTCAGCCTTGCCACAGAGATCGAACTCTGGGATCGCAAATCTGTTTCTTCTTCCTTAGTCATCGTTCTTGTTCAACGCCGCCATCACCACTATTGCTGGTTTGAACCTGCCGCTGCAACGACGATGATGAACAGGGAAAGGGAAAGAGTGAAGACTAAGGAGAATAAGAAGAATAATAAAAGAAGAAAAAGAGATGGTGTGGGAGAAAAAAGAGAGATAAGAGATTGGAGGTGGAGATCAGAATGGATTCACTGCCGCCATTGGTTCTGTGTCATGAGGAAGATGATGAACAGTGGATTTCGGGGGCGTTCTGAAGAAGAAAAGGAAGAAGAAGTAGAGATGGAGAAAGAGGTCGGAGTAATTATTATTTATTATTTATTAGGATTTATTTATTATTGTTATTATTATTATTAGTTAGGATTATTTATAATTATTATTTATTATTTAGTATTATTATTATTATTATTGGGTTCACATGGCGATTCACGTGTGGGTCCATGTGGATTCTCAGTTAAAATGTATAGCATAACATGTGAAAAGCATTGTATATATGTATGAGTGAAGTGAGGGATAAAATTGTCATTTGTGTCAATATAAGCACTTATGGGGAAAGTAGCTTACCAAAATCCCTACCCCAATAATTGCTTAAAAACATAATAAGTGATTTGGAAAGTGGGCTACAAACAGCCTTAAGTGGTTGTTAAAATAAGTACTTCTAAGTACTTGTGCAACAAGTAATTTGCAACAAGTACTTCTTTTAACAATTATTTAATCATCAAACATGGCCTGGATCAGATTGGACCAAATCAAGTCCAATTGACACCCCTACCGCCCAGGCGCCCAGCCCTTGATCACCTTGCATATCCCGTTATTATTGAAATGAAAGAATTAGAAAGCATGGCGAGATATGATTGGATGGTTCACGTAGCAACAAATGCATTCTCTGTCATTATGTCTTGCCCTAGTGTCCTACTCCTAGCTTTCGTCCACGCGTAAAAACAGAAAAGAGGATGAACATAACACTCGGGATCTGCTACCCACAAGTTGTTCCCAAATACCTACCCATAGAGCACCACCACTGTGTTATTGGGATCATCTCCCCATGAATGACAATGAAAATATTCCCAATAAGCAGTTGTAATGTCTCGTGGGTAGGGATGTGGAAACAACTTGTGGATAGTGATCCCAGCCTCGAACATAAAAAAAGTATTGGGAGGAGGAACAAATCTCTATCGTTGTATTGGCGGAGTCTAAATCTGCTTCTCATAGAACACTCCACACACAAGTTTCATAGAGTGCTCCTCATCGGGACTCTCATCCTTGTATTTATTCTTCATGTTCTCAATACATATTGGAATCTTCAAAAAAAAAACATGTTGGAATTGGACTTGTTCATGGATCGAACCAGGATTTCACCTATTGTCAACATAATATATTTAGGTCTGAATCCGAGCCCAGCCTGATCATCGGGCCTATATCTTAGGCCCAAGCTCGGCCCTCATAGAAACCCGAGGCCCAAGGTCGAGCTCGAAACACCTGGAGTGGAGGTGGAGAAAGAGAGTAACCTGATGGTGTTCTCTGTCATTGGTTGCCGCTTGCTAGAGTGCCACCGACCACTGTTGGGGATGGGGACGCCACCAAGGGATGAATCCACTTTGTCAGTCGCCAATCATCGTTGTTGAGGATGGGGTTGTCGGTTCGCCGCCTCTGGTCATGTATATCAATAAGGTATTCTGGTTCAGACTTACTGGAGAATGGGAGATGGGGCGCCGCCTTTGTTAGAGAGATGAATGTGCCACTTCATCGGTTGCCGCTCAGTCACTCAACCCTTCACCAGTCGATAGTCACCGCTCAGTCGCTCAACCCTCCGCTAGTCGCCAGTCACCGTTCAGTGCTCGGTCGCTCTTTCTAATCAAATGAAACAAGCTAGGGGGAGAGCATCGAGTGAAAATTAAGGATTTAGGGTTAGAATTAGAAAATAAAAATTATTATTATTATTATTATATATATAATATAGTCGGGCCGGGCCAAGCTTTCATGTAAAATCCCGAGCCTAGCCCAACATTAAGTCAGGCTTAGATCCTTAGGCCCGAGCCCTAGTCCATGGACCTAATAATATGTCCAAGCCTGTTTGGGGCCGGGTCAGGCTGGGCCATCAGGCTATTCGACACATGAATAGGTCTAGTTGGAATCTGATTGTGAGGTAAGTGTGAGAAGTTGATCCCAATTTGTAGTTAGATAAGTTCATGGGCTGGGCCGGGCTTTGTCTATGTATCAACAGAATATATTCAAGTCCAAGCTCGGCCCGATCATCGGACTTAGGTATTGAGCCCGAGCCCGACTAGAAATTTGAAAATATATATTTTTTCTTTTTTATTCAATAAAAAAGTGATTTATTTATATTAAAAACCTTCAAAACTCAAACATAATAAATATCTCACTATTATTTAAAAAAAAAAGAAGAAAAGAACAAAGAAAAAATATTTTATATATATTTTTTATTAAATAAAATATATATTTTATTTTTTAGTATATAGTATCATGTCTGACCCAGGCCAAACTTTTTTGAGAAAGCCCGAGCCCAGCCAAAAAAAAGTCGAGCCCGATGCTTTAGGGCCGAGCCCGCGGGCTTAAAATTATGACGAAGCCCGACTCATAACGGGCCGGGCCGGGCCGTCGGGCTATCCAGCCCATAAACAGGTTTATTCCCAGTGGTCTACGAGGCTGACGCGAGTCGCGACATATGTCTATTCTTTTTCGGCCCTGTATTCTCCGGTTCCCGTATAATAACAAGACATTACATGATACAAAGCGAATGCAACCCATACACGTGGTAACACTGTAAGGTTGTTCAACTTCCAGCTGTCGTCGTGAAACAGAGAGTAGCTTCCAACGCACGAGATCAATCATCTGTCATCTATCGCCCCCGTCAGAACTCATCACAACGACGGGGAGTTAATACATGGGATCTCCTCTCCCTCCTTTTTCCCTCGGATGTCGCCTTTCTTCCCTCTTGACTATGACCCCGCCCTCTCCTCCGTCTTCAGTTTTTTCGATTTTTAATAGCAAAATTCACAACGACATTAGTCCTATTTCTCATTTTTCATTTCACAATGCAAATCAAATGAAACGAATCTCCAAAATAACGTCCTCTCTCTCTCTCTCTCACGCACAGAAGCTGATCCTTCGATCTTCGTCCTGTTTTCCACCTCAGGGAATAAGGAGAAGCCACCTAAGAACAAATGAAATCCCATAATCTAACCCTAACCCTAGCTTTATTCTTCTTCTTCTCTACAATCCTGTTCTGATTGCACCAGATAATCTCCTGTTCTTGAGTTTTTCTTTGTCTGCAATTGGTTGGGGAATTATGGATTTTCAGGAGAAAGGCAAAGATTCCTCATTGGCGATATGTGTGCCGAAGAAAAACTCAAATCCTAACCACTCCCTCAATTATTCTTCTTCTTTCTATCGTCTCATGAACCTCCCTGCTTCACCTCCTTCGTCCTGGTTCGAGATTCGTCTCTTCTACGTTCGAATTGCTCCTTGCGTCGTCGACAGCGTTCCCAGCCATCTCACTCTCCGCCACCTCCGTCGCGAAATTGGGGTTTCTCTTGAAATTAATGGCTCCCGCATCCCTGCCTCAGAAACGGCGTCTCTCACACTTCGTCGTGATCGTCTCGATAAGGAGTCATCGGAAGTTACGTATGTTAGCACCGACAGCGTTCGAGTCACGGGAGCAGTTGAATTCGAGGTCTACGAGAAAGAAGATTTGATTTTGTGTGGTTCTCTGGAACGAATGGAATCTTCTGCTTGGAACAAAGGCAGCATCGGGCTCGATCACCATCAGGTGTTGGAGAATGATCCCAAGACTGGTTGGACCATGGATTGCTATACGGCGGCATCTATTGCCACGGGTTCCTCTGTCTTTTTTAAGCCAAAGCTTGGAATTTCATCGCCTTCCATTGAAGTTTATGTTGCCGGGTGTTGCTCCGGTGTTCCTCTGATTTTAACGAAAACAATTCAACTCAGCCCGAGGCGGAAGCCTCCAAGGCATGGGACACTTGATGCGATTCCAGAGGATGAAGAAACTGGGAAGGATCAAAACGTCATGGGCAGTTTGGTTCGTCATAGGAAATTGCAGGTAAGCGAAACTTCTCTTGCGTCTACTTTCCTGCTAAGGTTTCTGTGAATTGATTTTTCTCGAGGTTTGCAATATTACGATGTTTTTACCTTGGTTCCAACTGGTCTCTTTTGTGTTCTGAGCTGAACAACATTAATACTGCATCTGGAATTGAGAGAAAGTTTCAAGAAAAAAGGAAACAAGAAGAAAAGAAAGGAAACACTTACTCTCTTGGGCAATGGAAAATCTGGAATGGGCAGGCTGGAAATTTGGGAGCTGGGGAAGTGCCTTTCTTCGGATGAAGACTGAAGAGATGCTTTAGCAATTTGTTTTATCGTTGCTTTTTTTCATAGTAATTGAACAAACGTTAAGATATTACTCTAGCATTGTTTTGTAGATAGAGATGAAAGACTGACCTAAGTTATTTTGGGTTACTAATGAAACTAAGCCTGGACTGGAGATGTTTGAATATTTATGTTCTCTTGAAATTGTTATCAAATATCATGGATATCCTGAATTTTGGAGAGATTTGTGATTTCACTTTGAGAAATATAAATACTGTAAGATGTGAGGAATCCATTGGATATTGTTGACTGTTGATGGGGGGATAGGGGTTGCAAGAGTGGAATTCTACTGTGAACCAAGATTCACTGATCTTAGGGGTTCTCAGCTAATAATATCCCAATTAAATAGAATATTATTTGGTATATGAGTATATCATAGGAACTAGGTGGAGTTATGGTCTATGAATTCATCAGATATTAGTGTTACTAGTCACTGATGGTAACACAGAATTACCCCCACCCAAAGCCCAAATGCTTTGAAAACCTCAACTGTCTTATAAACTATAGAGAGGACTGAATTGAATCCAGTTGTGGTTCATATTGTAAAAAAGTTTAAGGTCTACAAGAGAAGGGGGCTCAGGGATTTTCCTGTAACGTTGATCAATCTTCTCAGACTGAGTTTTGTCAATAATTCTTTGTCCGTGGTGGGCATTTTTTGGGACAAGCAAGGGGGTGGGGGTGGATGAATACTGTTATTATGACAAGGATCATTTAGTTTCAGCTTTGGTTAAAGTAATTGTTTTATGCTTAGAGAAGATTTTTAGGAATATTGATGTGGGAGATGCTAATTTGGAACAAAAGTTTAGAACCAAACCTTCCTGTAGATTCTTTGAAGAACCTTGATGATTGTTTTGAGGCAGAAGCGGATCAAGAATAGCTGGTTGGTTGACATTACCCCATTAGACAAGGTTGCTCAAATAGATGTTACTTGGAAGGGGCTTGTCATGTGAAGATGTTTATTACTGTTTCCTGTTTGAAGCTGGGGGTTATTGTGGTTTTTGGTATCAGCTATGCATATCTGTTCTGTTGAAGGGGGAGGGGGTTAGGTGGTTTGGAAGGTTAGGAATGGCAATGGGGTGGGACGGGGACGGGGAGCCACTTCCCATCTCCGTCCCCACCAACAGGGACAAGGTTATCCCCATCCCCGTCCCCACGAGGATCCCCACTCTCCGTGATTTTTCATAATGTCAACCATTTTGCTTTTGTTTTTATTTTATTTAAAAAATTAAAAATAAAATAATTAAAATTTACAATCCTATTAAAAAAGATTCAAACATATTTTTAAAAATATTAATATATAGACGTATGCATACATATATACATATATTATTAGCGGGGATCTCCATCCCCATGAGGAAAAATCATCCCCATCCCTGCCTCATTTGGGGCAGGTCCCCGCGGGGATCGGGGAAATGGGGAAATTGCCATCCCTATGGAAGGTTATCTATGATGGGTTTCAGTTATTGATCCAAAAAAAGGTCATCTATGATGGGGACTGGTTTTGAGAGAAATTAGTCAATTTATTGGGGTTAATAGATGTTTTAATGCCTTTTCTTTCTCATCAGCTTCTTGTATCTGCTCCCATGTCTCCTTTTTTTTTAGTCCTATGATAGTTATGGATCCAAACAGTCTGGTTTGTAAGAAACCTGGCAAAGGAAAGAAAATAAGGGAAGAAAAAATTATCCATTTTTCTCTCTGTTGTTTGGTTTAAGTCAGAGGAAATCATCCACTGCATACCACTGCACCAATAACCCCACCCCAATATCTATTAGCCACACCTCCACCCCCATCAGGACAAATTCTCTGCATGATACCCTGTCCGCCACTGCCATCAGCATCCCTCTCTGCAACTACCATTTTCCATTAGAAAAAAAATGCAGAACAAATTGGGTGAAAAAATTTGGTTGTTCAAGCTTCCTTTGCCATCAGAGATGTGCATTCTTGGGTATCAAACTGAGAAGTATCATGTTGGATCTTGGTTTGTGTGGTCAAACTGAGACACCAATCCCAACAAAAAGTACAGAAATAAATCAGGAAGGCGAGATGATGCTGGATCAACAGTTACTTGGCCATGCCAACCATCAGTCTATTTCCCTAAAAATGAATACTTGAAACTTAGGAATATTCAGCATATTCCTTATTTCCCTCCCATTTCTTTGAAACCAAGATACCTTATCCTAGAGATGAAAGGGCTTCTCTTTTTCCTGTAGGACAATCTTAAGTGTCAAAAGGAAGCAAGAAGCAAGAATCAAGAATCAAGGGACAATGTAACAAAAAGGTTTCCACAATCAAGACCTTCAAGAAACAAGATTTATTTTAACAAGTATCTCTAAGAAATCGCTCCTTGGGTAATCCAGGAACCTCTGGAGTTGGGGGTTTCAGGGATGGGGAGGGCAGAATGATGACACCATATTCTGGTCCCATAGGTGTGGGAGACTCTCTGAGAGCTGAAATCATGCCTCTACTACAAGGCTTGAGATTGGCCAAGCAATGGGGATTTCAGAACTTTGAGGCATAGGGAGATTCTAAATTGTTAATAGGATGGCTGCAGACAAAAAATCTGGGTGTATGGACTTTCAGACAACAGATAAGGGAAATACTGTGCTTAGCAAGGGAGGCTGGGGTAATTTTCAAATGGGTAAGGAGGTCAGCCAACTCTGTGGCTGATGGTTTGGCAAAGCAGGGGGCCTTCATGGAGAACGTTTTTTGGGTTGTACTGTAACTTTCTAACTTGATTGGGGTCAACACTCATTTTCTGAGTGGTTGACAATGTATGATAATTAATTACTATTTTTAATGAAAGTCACTGTTTCCAATAAAAAAAAATTCTAAGAAATCAAAAAAGATTCAAGAAGATTAGAGAATGTAGCAAAATATGCAATAAAATCCAACAAAAATCCAAAAAATCATGAAAAAACCAAGAACTGATGAAAATCAAAAACATTTCAAGAAATATTGCAGAGACTGCAGATAGGCTTTTACATTTGCAACTTGATATTGTTGCAATAGAAATAAATATCAATCCTTTTGAATAGGTAATAAGAGAAGTTATATTAGCAAAAGTAGAGAGGGGCAGTATGATATTATTCTTGCACATAAAAGGTATGAGTATATTTCTACCTGGTCAATGTATCCCTGTAGTCATCTATAAGGAAAAAATATAGATAAGAAAGAGAAACAGGTAGCATACTCTCCTTTTGCCACTAAAACAAGAAAATTGTTTACTTTCATTTCAATTAAAGAAATGTAAGATCAATTACCGTGACCTCAAACTTCAAAATGGGGGATCTTATATTCCCACATATGCATAGATTTTATTCCTTCCAAATGGCTATCAGACAGGGCTAAAGGAAGGAGGTTTAAAAATTTGCTACCTTACACCTAAGGTAAGCAGCAATTGAGTGGCATATGTAGGGCAATCCAGCTAAAACCTAATACATCCACCAAATAAAGCTAAACCTTTATGGGAAATTGACAAAGCTTTGTGGCGATGTAACTTTTTATCAATGGAAATAAAGTAAAATATGGATAAGGATTCAATGCGTCCTTAGCTCATAAAGCACATATTGTCATTTTTAGATTTGGTATCTTCCTTAAGATCAAATGATCCTCAGGATCTTCCCAAGAGCAGTCTATGTAAACTTTATATGAATTTGGATGGGATTGAACTCATTTCCCACTTGAGAGCATCATAGCGTAACATTTGACAGTGAAAGCCCCTTTTGGAATTCATTTTCCAATTTTTTTTACCCTTGCTTTCTAGAGGAATGAACAGTTGACTAACTTGAAGAAGCAACCAGTTTTAGAAGAGATTGAACCTCTCAACTATTTACGTTTTCCAACCATTAGGACCAAACCCCTGAATCTGCTATCATATCACACTGCTAACAAATGTTTGGCCCTCTAATCAACTGTTATTTGTACTGATCCAAGAATCCAAGCTAGTAGAGATAGATAGGAGCTGGATAAGGAGTGTTTGGGGGATAAGAGGTCTGAGCTGGTCCTTCATTCCTTCATGGGGAGCTTTTGGGGGGATCCTAACAATTTGGAAGAATGAGGTTTTTGACTGTGAAGAAGAGCTAATTGGTCAGTTTTCAGTTTCTTTAAAATTTAGAAACTCTTCTGATGGGACGGCTTGGGCTCTATCCAATGTCTATGGCCCCAACTCATACAAAGAATGAGATTTATTCTAGGAGGAGTTGGCTGCTATTAGAGGCGTTTGGGAGCCCATGGTGTTTGGGGGGTGATTTCAATGTGATCAGATTTTCGAGTGATTTAAACAACCCAAACCAAAGTATTATGGCTAGCATGAGAAACTTTACCAAACTTATTGGTGCTCTGGAACTGAAAGAACTTCCTTTGCTACAAGCAGACTTTACTTGGACAAACTTTCAATCCCCCTGATATGTTCTACATTGGATAGATTCCTTTTCTCTCTAGACTGAGAGGAATTGTGGGGATCCTTAACCTCAAGAACCTTGTCTAAAGTAACTTCTGATCATTGTCCTATTTGCATTGAGAGGGAAGTCCCATTTGGAGGTCCTTGACCTTTTCGCTTCGAAAATATGTGGCTCGAGGATCCCTCATTCAAAGAAAGAGTAAAGGCTTGGGCTGAATCAGGATCTTTGGGAAGAAAGAAAATTGAGAGATTCTGTTGGAAACTAAAGAATTTAAGGAAAAAGCAAAGGCTTGGAACAAGGAGCATTTTGGAAGAATTGAACAAATCAAAGATTCAATCACCTCTAGGATTCAAGAACTGGATAGAAAAGAGGCCCTTAGAACCATGTCACAAGAGGAGAGGGAGGAAAGATGGAACAAGAAAGTCGAACTAGAGGAATCTTAAGGAAGGAAGAGATTTGTTGGAGATAGAAATCTAGATCTAAGTGGATTGAAGAAGGGAATGGCAATACTAAATTCTTTCATTCATTAGCCAATGGAAGAAGAAAGAAAAACACTATTCTTAGTGTGGAAGTGGAAGGCCAGGAACTAAGGGAGTCTCATGAGATTGTAAGGGCTTTTGTCAACCTTTTTAAGAATCTTCTCTCAGCCACCGAAGCCTCTAGGATAAGTTTACCGGATCTGGGGTGGATTATAATCTCTGAGGATCAGCCCCAGGAATTGGAAAGAAATTTCTCTTTGGAAGAAATTAAGGGAGCAATTTCTCCATGGATAGATCAAAGGCCTTGGGACCAGATGTTTTTACCATGGCTTTCTACCAAGAGTGTTGGGACTTCCTAAAATTTGACCTCGTTGAAGTGTTTGAAGATTTTTTCTGAAAAGGAAAGATCCCCTTTGGAGCAAATGCTACCTTTATCTCCCCGATACCTAAGGAGGCAAAATCCCCCAAGGATTTCAGACCAATCAGCTTGATAGGGAGTCTCTACAAAATCATTGCAAAGGTTCTCTTAGAGAGAATCAAGAAAGCCCTACCTTCAATAATTTCTCCTTTCCAAGGGCCCTTTGTTGAAGGGAGACAGATTGTGGATCAAATCCTTATGGCAAATGAATGTGTTGCTGAGAAAAGGAAATAAAAAGACTTGGTTTGTAAGTTGGATTTAGAAAAGGCTTATGACTTAGCGAATTGGAACATATCTTGCTAGAAATCCTAGAAAGGTTTGGGTTTGGAGAATGGTGGAGGAAGTGGATAAAAGGATGCATTAAGTTAGTTCACTATTCCATTCTTATTAATGGAGTGGCTAAAGACTTCTTCCCGGCTAAGAGAGGTTTAAGACAAGGGGACCCTATTTCTCCCTTCCTTGCCACCTCAGTAATAGAGATCCTCAATAAGATGATTGCAGTTGCAAATGCTTTGGGCCTGATCAGGGGTTGGAGGGTTGGAAGAGATCAAGTAATTGTTTAACATCTCCAATTTGCTGATGATACAATTTCGTTTTGCGAGAATCTTGATATGGAAATGGTAAGTAACCTAAAGTTGTTGATTGAGACTTATGAGGGTATGGGGAAGTATTACATTGATTAGGGCCACTTTAGCAAATCTACCCATCTACTTTCTTTCCACCCTTCATATCCCAACAAGGATAGCAAAACATATAGAGAAGTTCATGAGGGATTTCCTTTGAGAACCAGGGGAGGAAAAAAAGGATCACTTAGTCAAGTGGGAACAGGTTAGTAAGCCAAAAGAGTAAGGGGGTCTAGGATTAGGAAACAATTACATAAGAAACACCGCATTGTTGGGTAAATGGTTATGGAGATTTCCCTTTGAAAGAGACAGGTTGTGACACAAAATAATTGCAAGCATTCATGGTCTAGATTGCAATGGTTGGGATGCTAAATTGGCTCACCACTCCACTTCAGCCTCTCCTTGGAAAGCTTTTCACGAACTCTACCCTACATTCTCTAGTTCCATCCGTTTTGATGTGGAAAAGGGGAATAGAATCTGTTTCTGGGAAGACCTTTGGGTTGGGGAAGATCAATTCTCTGACCTTTATACCATTTCCGACTTCAAGAACGAAACCATTTCTAATTTGGGTGTGGTTCCCATTCAGGTATCAACTGGAACCTTGGTTTCAGAAAAAGCCTTAGGGATAAAGAGTGTATCTTGTTGGCTAATCTCCTTGGAACCTTGCAATCAGTTTACTTAGACCCCAATTTGGAGGATTCTAGATTCTGGGTAGTCTCCCCAAATGGGCTTTTCTCTTGCTCCTCTTTATTCAGTCCTCTTTCTTCTGCTAGGCCCCAAGGGGTGGCTCTCCCGGTGAAAGAAATTTGGAGCAAGCCAACCCCACCAAAAATCCAAGCTTTCTACTGGACCTTTTTCCTTGGTAAGGTAAATACATGTGACTTGTTGCAGAAAAGAAGGCCTTCCACTTGCCTCTCTCCTCATATATTGATTTCCTGCTCATTTGTACATCGTATTTGGGAATTTTTCTGTTCTCTCTTTGGCTGTAGATGGGACCCTCCCCTAGAGGTGACAGACATTTTCAATCCTAACTTCTTGAGGCAACCAAAGAAGAGAGGGAGAATTATGTGGAAAGTTACCAAAGCGGCTATTGCTTGGGGAGTATGGGAGGAAAGAAATAACAGAATTTTTGTTGGAAAATGTACAACTTTGGAAGAGGTCATTGACAGCATAAAACTGAGGGTGGCATTGTGGATAAAAACCTTGGACTGTTTTCAAGTTTTCTCTGTATCTGACATCCAAAGGGCATGGAAAGAGATGGCACAGTCCTCTAGGGGCAAGGAAACTATAAGAGTTGAGTGGAAGCCACCAGAGGTAAACAAATTAAAACTGAATTTTGATGGAAGCTCTATGGTCAGCCTGGGAGTGGCAGGAATTGGGGGAGCAATCAGAAATGAAGAATGCAAGATATTGATATTGGCTCTATATTCAGGGCCAATTGGTATTACAAACTCAACAAAGAGTTGAGTGGAAGCCACCGAAGTAAACAAAGTAAAACTGAATTTTGATGGAAGCTCTATGGTCAGCCTGGGAGTGGCAGGAATTGGGGGAGCAATCAGAAATGAAGAATGCAAGATATTGATATTGGCTCTATATTCAGGGCCAATTGGTATTACAAACTCATTAAAGGTTGAGTTATTGGCATTATTGAAGGGCTTGCGATTGGCAAAGAATTTGACTTTTCGTCAGGTGGAAGTGGAAGGGGACTCAAAAGTTGTAATCTCTTGGGCAAAATGTAATAGACATGTCCCATGGACCCTCAAGCATATCTTCAGAGAAGTGGAGAGATTAGAAAATGATATAAATGCTGATTTTAGGTGGATCAGGAGGAGTGCAAATGGGTTAGCAGATACTTTAGGCAAACAAGGGGCTGCAAAGCAGCAACTATATTGGGCCTCGTTGTAACTTGGATTGTAAATCCTTGGGGATGACTATTGGGTCATCAGTCTGTAATTAACTCCACAATTTTTAATTAGTGATTTAATGAAACAATCTTTTTGCTGATAAAAAAATGTTTCTATCTGTACAGACAGAAATATCACTTGAATTTTAGTGGGGTAGCCCGAGGGCGGCAAATGGATTTGCAGACCAGCTAGCAAAACAAGGGGCAAACAGGGATCAGTGTTTTTGGGCTCAGTTGTAAGAATGAGAAATCATTACTGATAGGTGGCAACTTAAATTTTAGTGGGGTAGCCAAGGCTACTCATAACCTGTAAATCATATTTTCTTATATTAATGGAACTCTTTTTACTGATAAAAAAAACATCACTTGATGTGATTGCTTATGGAATATTTGACATCACAACCATGCTATTTACAATGTGAAGTCATTTTTGAGTCCCAACCCCCTGTAAATGTTAATTGCCTAAGTTGTTAGTTTCTTTAGCTTGCTTGTCATAGTGAAATTTCCACTTCTTTCTCCAGAAGATTTTCTAAGTCAAAGATTTGAAGGAAAAAAAAAATATAAAATGTCAACAAAAAATCTGGTGAAGGTATAAAGAGAATACCAAAGGAGGTGGTTTCATGAGGGTGTTGCGACCAACAGTAAATGTCAATATACTCCTTTTGGAATCTCTGCACCAATGATCCATGTTATTAATTCTATGCCATTTTTGTACAAACTGCTTGTAACCTACTTTTATCAAACTGTCTTTGCTAAACAAGATCCCCATTCTAGGAGAAACTAAGGAAGTACGAGAAATGCAAGCAGGCATTGTTGCATTCTGCTCTGACAAAAAGGGCTTATATTCTCCTCCAAAACTGTAAGCCATGTGTACTGTTGGTAGTTGGTGACCATGCCACCATGGTTGCCAAATTCTTAGTAATGTATCATGCATGGATTCAAAATTTACAGTCTTGTTATTGCAATTGTACCTTTTTTTCTTTGGACTTCTTATCTTTATCGTTGAGATAAATGCATTTGCGAGAGCGTTTTGTAAACTGACATATGGGTGTAACTGGAGCTCCTGCAGATCACAGATACAGAAGTTGATGAATATGATTCTGAAGGGAAAATTCGGTCCAGCTTTTACTCGGAAGATATGTATTCTGATGATGATGGCCAGCTTTCATGGTTCAATGCTGGTGTAAGAGTTGGTGTGGGTATTGGTCTAGGAATGTGCCTTGGCATTGGAATTGGCGTTGGGCTGCTCATGCGCTCATACCAAGCTACAACTAGGACTTTCAGGAGGAGGTTTTTCTAAACTTGCGTTCTAGAATTGGAAACCTGTGTTTCTGAAGAAAAATGGTTTGAGAAAGAAAGCCCTGTTTTCCATCTATCTTGTACGTATGAGTTTAGTACATGGGATGGAGGTTGTACAGTTTGTGGATAGCATGCCAAGTTCTTTGATAAAAATAGCTCTTCGGGGTGCTATTGGTCATCAATCTCATCCTTGTAGCTGAAGCCTATATGGTACCAAGCAATTACTGCCAGTCAGATATAGCTAGATTTTCATCGATGAGGCTACACTAGATACAGAGGCTTTGTTTATTTTTGTTTTGTTTTATTTTTTCCTGAGGCAGTATGAGCTTGAACCTGTCGAATTCTGGGTGCGAGTCCTTGTCTTCAGAATGCATCTTTGCATGATTGTAGAAATCTGTGTTTTTTTTTATGTATGATATAGGAAGTTTATTTTTTATTAGTCTTGCAGAATAAGTTGTTTATGTATTAACTTCTGGTGGTTTTACATCCTTACGTTCGTCCTATGGGTTATTTAATTAATTAATGTCCCACGTTCAGCCATTAAAGTGTATATCAATGTTTAGAAAATTGGACTGGACCGGCCGGTTGGATTTGGTAAAACCATGGTAAAAGCATGAATCAGTTTGTTTGTTTGTTCAATCAAGGTCTCAAAACCGGATGTTTAAAGTGACCATTTTGAATTAGGGGTGAGCAAATGGGTAGGTTTTATTCGGAACCAAATTGAACTGACTTCGAACTGGTCTTAAATCGACCCCATTCGATCTATTACAGGGTGCTAAATTTTTGGAATCAAGGTTCAAAATATTGATATGCTTGATACATTGGTAGAGGTGTATCGGGCAGTACCAATAGTTTTTTTATTTTTAGTTTTTTTAATTTGGTTTAGAGCAAGGTTGAAAGTATCTATATGTATTGGTCGATACATATCGTTTTGGGACCCTTCCTATATGCCCTTATAGTGGATGTATCGGGGGTCTGACCAGTTCAGGGGGTCTGACCAGTTTTGGCCCCTCTGAACCAGTTCCAGAAAAAAAATAAAAAAAAAGAAGTAAAAAACAAGGTATCGATTTGCCTGATACGCCCCTATTGGCGTATTGGGCGTATCGATATTTTGAACCTTGGTTCAAAGGGTTTGGTTTAAGGTCTATCCACCCCCTGAATTGGTTGAAATCCCAAAACAACCCTAGAGGGGTGTATCGGGAAGCCCTCGATATGATACGTATCAGTCAATATGACCCAATACGTACTAAAATTTTGAACCTTGCTTGGAACCGACCCCCACCCAAGTCAGTTCCAAGGTCTAGGGGTTATCTGAACTGACCCGAATCAGCCTTGGAACTGAAATTGCTTTGAAATAAGCCTTAAAATACTTTTAAGGATGTGAAGGTTTGAGCCCAAGCACCCATGGTTACAAAAGTTATGATCTCACTTCACCATCTAGTTACTTAAGTGATTTGATCATTTGTTTTTATTTTAACATTTGTATGTGTATAACAAATTATGTAAAAGATAATATTTACAAAATTTAAATCATAATCACAAATTTTCAACTCTATATTAATATATTATTATATTTTACATATTAAATTATTTGATTTAATCAATAAAAATAATATAAGTTTTAAACTATATATTATCATTATTGAAAAACAAGTTTTTGAAGGATATGTTTCTTTTTTTTTTCTTGAAGGGGAAGAGTAAAGAAATGATAGGTTCCATAGATAGACCTTGGAACCACCAAGGCCATAACCAACCTTGGGGTCAAACCGAATCAACCCATGCTCACCCTTATTTTGAATTATCATAGATAAAAGAGTTAAAAACTTATACCCTAAGCTTTTAGAAATTGATTTGAACAAACCTTTAAAGTTTTTAATTGGAGTTAAACATACCTACAGACGTTAAGTTTGATGGAATGTTCTTCTACCCTTTACTATTGGGGATGTAAAAGGATCGTATCAGAATTGAATCAGGATATATTTGAAATTCTTGTCGGATCTGATAGGACTCAATTTGAATTTGAATCCTATCGTTAAGTCGGATCTTTGGATCTGATCCGATCTAACTTATTTTCTTTAAAAATTAATGAGTTATTAAAAGAAAAATAAAACATATTAGTTTAACGTATATATGTATTATATATATTTATATTTATAAATATATAATATATATCGGATAGGGAGGTGATCTGATTTTTTATCAGATCATAGGATCCGATCTGATCTGAAGATCCAAACAGGGGTGATAAGAATTCAACCAAATAGGATCGAATTGGATCATGATCCATCCATTTGCACCCCTACATTCTTTAAATTTTCAAAGAAAACCAGAAAGAAAAAAATATTCTTCAAATTTTCTAACTGAAAAAGGCCGGTTGTGTTTAGCCATCAAATATGCATAATTGTGGGAGCTTCTTCTTTATTGGATCATTTCCACTAACTGTTTCAAACGTAGTCTGGACTTCGGAATGGGCCCCATTGAAAAATGGGTCCCTTTCTTTTCTTGACTCTACAAAGTCTGAATGCAACTCCATTTTCTCTCTAACCTCACACTTAATTCTTTTTACAAGAAGATGAAAGAGTTGTTAAATGGAGTTATAGAGCTCTTAAGCAAAATCAATAAATCATCCATAAAATCTTTTCAACACCAACCGTAAAAGAGATTGTATGGCTCTCGTGTATTTAAAAAATATGATTCAATCCTTCTAGGAATGACAATGGGGCAGGTTTGGGGTGGGGCACCCCTTTCCGTTCTTTCCATGTAGTCAAGATACTTTGCCTCATCTCCAATGGCGGGGCAGGTCAGGGGCAGGGCATCCACTCTTTGTCGAGGACAAGGAATCCCCGAATTTTCTCTACTCTAAGGCAATTACTTAAAAATTATCTATTTTGTGGACAATTTACACATAGGATAAGGAATTTGGGGGTATTTTAGGAATTGAATTATAATATTTTAGGGGTACTTCAAAAGTGGAATTATGGGATCCTAGGATTTTAAGAATTTAAGAAAAACTTAGAGATATTTTAAATATCAGTATTACACCTAGAAATATTTTACAAGGGAAATTGCCATCCCTAGTCGTTTCATTATAAAGCATATGAATCAAGTAACTGAAATCAATTGTTATTCTATTTAGGTCATGTTTGGGAATGCTTAAAAATAAGTGCTTATTTGGGCAGGGGCCACACCATTAAGCATTATTAGTGTTTGGGAAATTAGCCTACTTTTTTTAAGTGCTCATACAATAAGCACTTGCTCAATTCAATTATCAAAAAAATCACTTATTCATTTTTTTTCTTCCATAATTGTCCCTAGTAAATTTTTAGAATACTAATAATACCCTTTTACAAAAACAATTTTACAAAGGCACTTTTAGAAAAATTACTTTTATGAAAGTAAAGTACTTTTACAAAAACACTTCTATAAAAGTACTTTTACATGAAAGCACTCTATAAAAGTACTTTTATGAAAGTATTTTTGTGAAAGCGCTTTTATATAGGTACTTTTTAAAAGCACTTTTATGAAAGCATTTTTGTAAAAGTACTTTCAAAAACACTTCTATCAAAATACTTTTAGTCATTCACTTTGGATTGAATATTTTGAAAATTTGAAAGAAAATGAATGGCAAAAGAATTATAATTGCTTATTTAAGTACTTATTGGAGAAAAAGGTGACCAAACACCAATATAAAATAAGTGTTTATTTTTTAAAATAAGCACTTAAAAAAATTAGGTGCAAAATGCAAATGAGTGCTAATTCGAATAAGCACTTATTAAATAAACATTTATTTTTAACATAAGCACTCCTAAACATGGCCTTAGATTATAGCAATTGCTTTCACATTCTACTTCATTGAACATAAAGCACTGACCAAGTCAAACGATTCAGCGCATTGTCTTAAAGCTGCTTGGTGGCATTATATTAGTCCATTTGTAATAGTTTAGTCATCGGTGCACCAAGAGCATCTATGGAATCCCATAACCAATAGAACTTTGGGGTTTTAGATACAACAACAAAAATGGAAAGCGAAATGGTTATCTAATGGGACTGCAGTACTTTACAACGTTGTACAAAAGCTTAGTGAGAGAGAGAGAGAGAAAGAGGATTGCAGATCTGAGATCTCAATTCTCAAATTCTGAGATCTCAGAGAAATTTTTCCGCTATGATTTCTGTTGTCATCACCGTCACCGTTGCCATTGCCATCATCGATGAACGTCGAATACTTCTCCTCTTCCTTCTTCTCTCTTCTTCCTCTTCCTCCTTTTCTCCCTCCCTCCTTCCTTCTTTCATTTCCTTTCCTTTCTTTCTTTCTTTCTTTCTTTCTCAGCCAACAACTCTTTTTAAGTTTTTTCTTACAAAAGACTGAAATGAATATTATTTGTCCTAATATTCTAATCCGCCTGAACTGTTCAACTCGGATAGTCGAACCGCTAACCCAGAAATTGGTGGCTAGAGTAGTTTCGCAGTTTCGTTTCTGAGTCTATTTTTAAAACCTTGGTCTATTATTACACACTTGAAATTGCATTTCCATCCCACTAACAACTAGTAGTAGAACATGTATTCCTATTGGTTCATGTACCCTTACCCTACAAGAGTTGAGTTGAGTTGGAGGATACAGGAATCTATAGTATCCAATGTAAAAGAAAATGTCAATAAACTGGTGGAAGTTTTAAATTATTACAATCTCCACAAGTATTTGTTGTGTTCTACCACAAAACAGAATTTTTCAATTATTACAATCTCCACGAGTATTTGTTGTGTTCTACCAAAAAACAGTACAAGTCTAAATACAGGCTCATCCATACCTTGTACTGAATTTTAATTAATTATAATGGAGTGACAACTGCAAGGATCAAACACTAGACTAGTTGATTAATATAAAATCTTAAGCTGTTATATGCGGTGTCTGAATAGGTTTTTATTCTTTAACAAACACCAAAAATAAAAATAAAACAATAATCAGATATAATACCTCAAAATGAAGAAAAAAGGTATAAACATGCCTATATATAAAAACATTGGACTAGTCTTTCAGTTTTCCTTTTTCTTTTAGTTTATTTAGATATAGACATATATTTCTTTATTGGAGATTGTTTTAGCATTGAAGAGCTGAAGTCTTATAAAATATTAATGATACTTAAAATTAAAAATATATAAATTCTATACTTGAAATAGTTAAAATCTCGAAGATTCAACATATTTTCAAAAAATAAGTCTGAGTTCTCTATCAACAGCATATCATCCACTGCTCTAGGAATAATATTGCCAACTATATACTTAGAGATGATGTGCATCTTAGTTCTTAAAGCAACCATTTAAAAAATCTTGGTTGTTCAGTAGGAGTGGCCACGAGCCAAGCTTTTCACTAGCTCAATTTGATTTAAATCAAGCTTTTAGCCGAACTTAAGCTTAACATATAGGCTTATTTGCTAATCGAGCCGAATAAAATTCAACTTATGAGGTTCACGAGCATAATTGAGCTTATACACACACTACAAGAAAAATAACCTAAGCCGGCGGTTTAAAACTGGCGCCGCCATAGTGACAACAAAGGTGGCATTCCTTCCATGGCCACTGCCTACAAAACTAAAATAGCTAAACAAAATAATCAGGTGGTGGTCTTTGGAAATTGACACGGCAATTTCTTATTCTGAACCGGAGAGAGAGAGAGAGAGAGAGAGGTTGAAACCAAAAACTCTCAAGACTCCCGCACTCTCCCGTGTTGCATAGAAGAAAAATTTTGTAGACAACTCCACTGAGAAGCAGAGATCAATCGAATTCAAGGGAAAGCTCCATACCATCTCATTGATCGACTGAGAATGCAAAATTGATTGACCGAGAATTTGACGGAATACCAGTGTTGTATGACTCTCCATTCTAGCGTTATTCGTTTGAGTAGGTTCTATGGGGGCATGAATCAATCAAGTGAGGGATGGAAAGATTTGTCTCCATTGAAGGCTCCCATACCAGCATCGATCCTGTGAAGAATGGGGATAGAGGGGAACGAAAGACTCACACGTTGAGGAAACATGGTTTTTATTGGGGGCAAGAGAGTCTAAGAGACTAAAGAAGTAGAAACCAAACCCTGGTTTAGTTCATGGAATTTCATGGAAGTATTTGTTGGTTCTGAAGAATTTTGGAGAGAGAATGTTCATGGTGAATGGAACATAATTATTGTCCTACTCTTTATCGTCATCTGGCTAGGTCATTTGCCAAGCATTTCAGATCCTTGTCAGCTCCATGAAATGCAAAAATGACCGGTTCCCCTTCTATAAATCAGCCAATCAAGTAATTTTATTCCTTTCAATTCTCTTTAATGGGTCGTTCTCTGTTTAATTACTAAACCTTGAGTTCATTTGATCTTGTGGTATTCCTCTGGCTTCTATTCTTCATTGTCGTAAGCTCCGCTATGTAGGGTCTATTAAGTGTTCTACGTTGGGTCTCAAATCACTTGAGACTTCAAAAAGCAATGAAAAAGCTGAGGATGTTACTTCAGTTGTTGTTGTTAACACCATTATTCAATCCGAACCAGGGAAGAGGAACAAGAGGCCAACTAACAAATGGAGGCCTATAGATGGTGCTTCTGGATGGTCAGGTACCTATGCACTACATGGTGGCTTCTCTTGTTATTGTTCCACTTTCTGTTAGGCTTTCAAGCTCCCGAATCACTGGGGTCAAAGCTCAAGTGGGAAGGATTGAAAGCATTGCATCCTGTCATGTTGGTGCTCGATATTGTTATTGGCGGTTTAAAGCTCTAGGAAGGTAGACCCTGTGCAGATGGTCTGTTCCGTAAGTGACTTTGGAGCAGTAGCTTTACGAAAAACTTTAGTAGGTTTGGATTTCTACTTTGTATACCATCGTTTCTAAATCAATTTCAATTTCTTGGATGCTTATTTCTGATTTCTAAATTGAGTTCTTGCAATTATGCCATTGTGTTGGTTGGAGCATTTGCTTCTGGATAGTGAGACAGGGCTGGACCCACTAGGCATCTAGGTTTGTCCTGTTATTGGGCTGGCTGCGGTGGACTATTTTGCTTCTGGGTACTTTGTTTGGGCTACCCTTATTGAGAATCTGACAAAAATTGGATACAGGGGGAAGAATTTGCACATGGCTACTTACGATCGGAGGTTCTCTTTTCAAAATACAAAGTTTGTTTAGTTCATTCTACTTCTTCTCTGTAGAAATTCAAGCTTTGCATTCATTTCATTAACGTTGAAGCACTGGCTCCTATGGGTGGAGGTGGTGGTGATGGTGTGCTAAAAACATCAAAGCAATCATGAACATTGGTTTGCTGTTTCTTGGTGTTCCAAAGTCGATTAGTAACATACTCTTTGCTAAGAATAAAGACATTGCTTTTGCCAGGCTAGTTTTCTCAGTTCAAATACTACTTGGCATGTGGTAACCAGTTAGATTCGTATTGAATTGTTTATACCAAATTGAACTTTTAGCAATTTAGCACTTATTTGTCAAAATAGAGGCACTACTGTAACTACATGGGGTGAATTTTATAAAGAAGCCACTTTTGTAGTTTCACTTTAGCTATGTTTTTCTTTGTTGGAATTAACTTAGAAACATTTTGCCAACTTTTACAGCATCTTTTGTTTCTTTAATGAATCTGAATCTGCAACATAAAATAATACTTTCCTTTCAATCCTAAAGGTCTTGTATGATTATGAAGACAAAATCAACCAGGTTGTCTTCCAAGGGCTTCAAGGTGGTCCACACAATCACACAATTGCTGGGTTAGCAGTTGCATTAAGGTAGGTTTTGTATCAATAAATGATTTTTGGCCTATTTGGAAGTGTACGGTTAATTAAGATTCACTTTTCTTATTTTATTCTTTAATGTTCTATTTTCCTGTTTTAAATATCTAAATTACAACCGAGTTTATTTTCTATGCATTCCTCCTGACAAGTCAAACCCAGATCATGTTAATCAAAGGCATTGTTCTCACAATAGACCAAGTCATAGTTCAATTTTTAGCTAAATTTGAAATATGATATATTTAGGTCTTGTTTGGAGGTCTCTTCAGCCTTTTGAACTTATAGGTCATCAACAGGCTAAAAAAAATGGTTGTCAATAGGCTACAGGGTCACCTTAGTCCATTGGAGTGTGTTTATGTTAAGTAGGTTATTTCTGTAGCCGTTCCTGGTCAATATAGGTTAGTGTTATTCTTTCCTTCTTACTTGTTCTGAAATGGAGTCATTAAGAGATTAGGATAATAATAGAAGTTAATCATATATTTGGAACAAGATTGACAATTATTGTGAGACATCATTATGCAAATCCTTTCACATAATTTATGATTTAAGAACAAATTAGATTAAAGTTTTCTTATATATCTATGTGTCGTTTTAGTTAGTCATTTTTGTAGATTCATCTACTACAATCATTTACATGGATGTAGGCCACAACTCCAGAGTACAAAACCTATCAAGAACAAGTTCTTAGAAATTGCTCAAAATTGCGAAGGTATAGTTGACAAGAATTTTCCATCATTTGCATAAGATATATATTCCTACCTACATGGTGATCCATTTTGGTTATTCTTTTGTTTTGATTTGACATATTCTAAGTGTTACTTGGTGTTCGATTATTATATAATAGGTTTAGTGAACTTCTTTAGTGCACAAATTTTGCAGAGCTTGGTAGAGAAGGGCTATGAGCTTGTCTCTGGTGGAACTGAAAACCATTTGGTTTTGGTAAATCTCAAAAACAAGGTAAGCAGGCAATGCTCATTCTTCCTTTTATCTTTTTATGATTTAAGTTCTTTAGATTTTACATTTTCTTCTTCAAGCAACATTATGATTGGCACTTGATTAACTAGTGAAGTTTGGGTAAATTCTTCTACTATAGAACCTTGATGTCTGGTCTTTTTATAATTTCAAAAAATACTAGATATGCATTTAGTTCAATATCTATAACAGAAATTATATTATTTTTAGCATAAAATGAGAATGCATGAGCACCACAGGACTTCTGTTCTACAAGGTATTGATGTCTCTAGAGTTGAAAAGGTATTGGAATTAGTGCATATTGCAGCCAACAAGAACACTGTTCTTGGGGATGTGTCTGCCATCGTTCTTGGCAGCAACAGGATGGATAAAGTGCCCTTTCTTAATTGAATTGAACTTTCTTGATCCATGCGTAATTCATCTTGATGACCCTTCATCTATGGTGATTTAGGAACCCTAGCCCTCACATCAAAGGGATTTGTTGAAGAGGATTTTGCAAAAGTAGTTAATTTCTTTGGCACTGTTGTGAAGTTGAACTTGAAAATAAAGGTTGAAACCAAAGTGCCCTAATTTAAAAGCCATGCCTAGGTAGCATCAAACATTATCCATTTTCTCTACATCCTCCTATTCATGCCATGCCAAGTATCATGTGGTGTATTATTTATCTTGTGCCATGATTGTGTTCATTTGAGGCTTCATTTGTACTAATAGTAATAAAACTACTATGATGTTTCTGTACTATGTCTGTTGGTAGTGATGGCTTGTAGTGATGAGGGCAGCACTTACAGCTACAAGTGAGGTTCTAATGAAATAAAGATGACCCTTCTTGTGATGCAACACATTATTTGAAGAAGAAAGTTCCATTTCTTTAAAGAGTCTTATTTCACTGCTACAACAAAATTTCAGTTTTACTGAACAAGGTATAATCAGCAATGGACACACATGGTCATGTTCTTCATTTCTTTTTATTTTCCCCTCTTTTCATACTTCTTGGAAATGTTTGTTGATCTCTTGCAACAAATTTGGTAATGTCAGTGTTTTAGAATTTTAGTATGTGGGTCAGTCCTCCATGAGCATTTTTTTGATATAATTGATTGTATCTTTTCATGATTTGTTATTGAATAAAGATAAACACGCAATCAGACAGCCACTGAGAGAAATTGTGAGTTTATCAAGGGAGCTTGGGTGTAATTTAGATGGGTATCTTTTTGCAATTTGTAATCCTTGAGCCAATAACATAGGTCATCAACTCATCACCTTGGCTTTTACTGCATCAGGATTATCTATATTAGTTTAACCATTACACTACATCTTTCTCTAGGAAATATGTTAAACAATACATATGCTCAATAGAGCAGCATATGGCAGACTGATTGCAACGCATGCAGCTTGTCTTTCTGAGTCTGTGACTTGAAATCATTCTAATTTATTTGGGTGTTCATTGTCTTCTTTCTTTGACTTGCTTCTAGCAAACCCTTTTGATTGTGGAACTCAAGATCGTAACAAATTCATAATATTCATTCATGCAACAGGTTAGACACAACTATTTCAGGAACACTGAAACAAGAAGGGAATGAAGTCAGTCATCTTTTCAAGATTATGGCCAATTCCTTCTCAAAGAGGTGGTAGAATGGCAAGATTAGAAATTTCCAATACCTCATGCATCTCAACACTCTAGCAGGACATGGATATAGTGACCTTACTCGGTATCTAGTGTTCCCATGGATTCTTGCAGACTTTGAGGGAGTAAAACTCTGAACTTAGATGATCCCAACACATTCCGTAAGCTTGACAAGCCAATGGGATGCCAAACAACAGAGGGGGAAGAAGAATTTAAGAAAAGGTTGCTATAACATATATCTATCATGTTACTATTTTTTTTCTTTTTATGTGATTTTATTTTTTTATTCCTCATCTCTGACCAAATTTTCTATATGGTTAAATAAGTTGATCATCCTTGCTTCACTAGCATGGTGCTAATATCATCTTCCATTCAAAGAGATATATGCAACCACCCTAATGTTCTTATTTTATTTTATTTTTTGTCTTCTCTTGTTATATCAGATATGAGAGTTGGGATGACCCAGATGTTTCGAAGTTTCACTATGTTTCACATTATTCTGGTGCAGGAATTGTACTATTTTATCTTTTACGCCTTCCACCATTCAGTATAGAGAATCTGAAGCTGCAAGGAGGCCAATTTGACCATGCTGATCGCCTTTTCAATAATGTAAAAGATACATGGTTAAGTGCAGTAGGGAAGGGTAATACATCAGACGTGAAAGATGAAAGAATGGTAGGATCCATCTAATGGACGCCAAGAACGTTGCAGAATGGGTGGGCAAATTTCAAAAATTTTCTTACCTTCTTCCAACTAGGAATCATATTCCCTAAATTTAGAATACAATATTCAACGATCCCACTTGAACCATAATCGAACCAGATCTGAACCAAAAAGCAAAAGGGAGGAATATACCTGATCCAGAGAAGCAGTATCTCCCAAAGTTGGTTATCACGCCCAAAGAAGACACCATGATCCGCTCCTGCTGAAGATGACACAGCTGTGGGTGGAACGAAACCAGCAAAGTGCATCCTACACACTGGATCCTTCGCAAGAATCCTCTGGAAACTCTGAACACCGAATCATTTTCAATTCTTTCTGCAAGATTGATGTCAAGAACTGATTTCTTGACTTCTTTCTTCTTCAAAGATCGAATCTTGTGAGAAGCAATGGCGGCGGCGGCTGGAGGAGAACTCCAAGGACGAAGATAGTTGAATTGCTTTTCTTCTCTTTGGAGTATGGATGAGATCTAATCTCTTTTTCGCAGGAACCTTTCTTGCTATGTCAAAAACCCTTTGTTCGAATCTGATATGTTTTTCTGGGATTTCTCCCTCCTTTCTTCTTGATTAAGAAACCTCCTAATTAGGAGTTATCCCAATCCAAATCAGTATTTGGATAGGGGATTATCTTAATCATATATGCAGATTAAGTTAGCTTACTCCTGATCTTATCAGGAGGTTACCACATTCAAATCTGATGCCAGAGTGGATAAGGTTAAAGGGCCCTATCCTTTTGCTAACATTAATCTCAGATCCGCCCCATAGATGGGTGATCATATCAACCCAACTCGAAATGGGCTTTTGGCCCATTAAGTGTTCAGTGATTAATTAGTTTCCAATCTGCTGCCCAGTTGGGCTTCTTTGTATGGCGTGGGACCCAAGCATTGATCTACACACCAGCCACATGGGTC